CCCGATGTTGAAGTTTGCTGACAAATCTATGACACTTCTGCCCTTCTTGCTTTTCAATGGTGAGCAACACTGACCTCGCTACTCCCACGGCTGAGTGGTCTGGTCTGGCCTGGACCCTTCCCAGCCTCCTCCGTACTCCCCCGGGCATCAGGCCACGACCACAGGCAACATCTCTCATCCTTTCTCTCTCAACCTACTCGCTGTCTGTCCTCTGCCCCTCTATCTGCAGCAGCATGAGTAATTCTGTCTTTTAGGTGCTGTTTATATGCAGTTACATTTTTATGATGCTCGGCGCTGCGGTGGATCGATCACACAGTGACCTTGACGAGCCTTGGTTGTTCTTAAGACGCCTACACGAACGAAAGGACTACGAGGCACAAAAACAACAGGTCAGACAGGAAGGAAAACAAAAAACAGAATTCAATCCAGTCATGCGAACAGTCTTTACAAAACAGCGACTGTGACTGTTGACAGTGAGAGACATTATAAAACAAAGAGAAACGAGGACAAGATTAAAACTGAATGACAGATTGATGAATAGGCAGTGAGATAAACACACAAAAGGTTTCATACTTTGCCGGGATGCCGATAGTTTAGCGATTTCAATACGGTCCTCATAACGTCCTCATTCTTTTGTGAAAAGTGAAAATAATCACAGGCTGTATGATTGAGCACGAGGGCTAGTAAAACAAGGTCAAATTAAAACTGCTGTTATGATAACACAATTGAAAAACAGTATTTACATTATTATCCAAACAGAGAAGTTACTGGAAGGTCTGCTATTTCTGGGGCCCTCTTGCAGCATATATCTAAAAGAGGATATTCTGCTCGGCATGCGAGGGCCTTACTGACCCTGAAACACATTACTCCTCCACTCTCCCCACATCCCTCTGCTGCCTCTACTTTAACAGCCTCTCATTTCTGTAGGATGTGGCGTTACGCTGCAGATAGATGCTCACTCTTAGCCTAATTGAGCTTATCTGTGATGACTCAGACTGGAAGGGAACTACTCATTTGGGGACAGGACTGTGGGAATGGGCATGAGTGCCCAAGGATGGCAGTAAAAATCAGGCAATGTCTCACAAAAGCAGTTGCTTTTGAGTGGTAACACTGATGATAGGAGCCCATTCAGAAGTTCTCTGTGGCCTTGAGACAAAGCAGACAGCAGACCAGGAGGTAACGCTTTGCTCTGATGTCCTCCAGTTTCCCCTCACTCTGCCGCTGCCGTGCCAAAGACGATGCAATGTGTGCCTCCTCCAAAAAAGGGAGAAACATTTAGGCTGGGGTGCGCATCCTTAACCCGGCCCATCGTGTCCCTTGCAGGTCTGCTCAACAAAGACCAGACACATTGAGAGTGTACCTCGCAGGGTCTGCTTTATAACAGGCTGCCGCTGCACTCACAGCACTGAGGATGCAGCTCAGAGGAGAGGCCACTTAACATACTGTACCCGGCAGTGTTTACAAAGGCCTTTCACTGCAATGCACATCTCATCCCTGATGGATGATGATGACTGAGGCTAGGCTCTTATGCCATTTTACTGTCAGGGATTTGCATCCACTCAGACACACACACATTCCTCAATTAAACAACTATAGCCAGGAAATGTAATACCTCTGTGATATTCTTGCATGGTGAACAAAATGATCAGACATCTCTGTGTACCTTCTCAAAAACAGACCTTTGTCTATCTTATGCAGTAGAAACTTAGCCGTGTCTCATTTGGGAAACTTACATTAGTACAGTAACATGTAGTACACTGCTTACACTGTGTACTTGTGTAGTAGGGTGGGCGATCTGGCCAAAAATAATGTATTGATCTATTTAATCGCAATCACAATTCACAATTTTAAATCTTCTCAATATTTAAGTTACCTGAAGACTATAGCTTGACTTGAACTACACAGGTTTCAAAATTGTGTTTTAAACCTGAGTTTAATTTGAAGGTGTAAACAGAAGAATCATAAAAATAACATTTTTCACATACTTACAACGCAATTGCATTGTTTACAATTCATCACCCAAGGAACAGCCACGTGAGGAATTCGTCCAATCAGCATAGCCATCTAGTTGGCTACATCACGTAGAGCAGACCGCTAGTCAATGAGTTTATGTGAAGATTGTAAAAAGAAGTAAGAGGGCAATAAATACCGCAATCGCTACAATTTACCTGAAAAGTAGATTGTGAACGCCTTCGATCACGATTTGCCCAGATTGCCCACCCCTACGTGAATTTCGACAGGGCAGTGTTGTCTTAAATCAAACACGGCCTTTGTGCACTAATCGGAAATGACGATTGCAACATTTGACTACATCTTCTTCTTCTGTTTAGTGGCCAATTGTAATCGGGTGAATCATTATCGCCAACATTTGACTGCATTTGTTGTCCTCCAAAATATTTCACTTGACTTCAATTTAATTTTGATAAAAATTAACGTACTTGTACTTTTACAATCGCAACCGCTGCAGCAATAGGTTGGTGCTCCCTATACTTCCGCTACGTAGCCATGATGGCGACCATTGAGGGTGAGAAGCAGCCAATGCTCCACACTCAACTTTTTAACCATCCGGGTACTCATAGTACCTTCTCAGTGTGAACGCACTCAAAATAGCAAGTGTAAATATTTAAGGGCGCAAATTGAGACACAGCATTACTCTCTCCATACTTCAGCGTTTGGTCCAAAGACTATGTCATCATTTGCCTTTGCAAGATGTTAAAATAAAGTATAATATTTATTTTTATTTTTTATTTTTTTTAAATCAGACGGCTGATATTAGAGACGAAAGACATGCAACAAAGGTCTCAAAGCTAGTTTCAACCACAAACTTGCAGTTAACCACTAAGTCACAGCGGAGCCCCAAAGTTTGAATGTTTTTGAGCTGCCATCCTTACCTGCCGAACAAGGCTGTTGGTTGTGGTGTCGGAGGAGGTGCTGCCATCTGAACCCTTAAATCGACCTTTTCTTCGAGCTCCTTTGCCATGAGACTATGGAGAACCGAGCCAAAAGAGAAAAGAGTGACATTATTAAAGAAGGGCTTCACATCTTTTCAAGCCTATCTTGCATGCTACTCTTCTTTGCAGTTCCTCCTGCCCTACTGGTCACCAAGAGATCTCTTGCCAACACGACACAGTCCTCATTCTCTGCAAAAATGCATTGAAGGTCAGCAGAAACTAATCTGAGGCTTCAGCAGTCTGAGTTAGAAAAATCAAGTGTTTGTCTTTCAACTACGACTGCAACTAATGGTTATTTTCAAATAATTTCGTCTATCTATTTTTTGGGGGTTATCCCTATGGTTTGTCCCCATCACTTACATTGTAGTCGAGTTAAGAAGGGATCTCTTCACATTAGTATAAAGAGGAGGGAAAAATCAATGACCAAACACTTTTTCAATGCACATATGGGCATTTGAGTATTGTTTTAACACATACTTGAAAAAATGTGAACATATCCTTTTAGTGCAGCATCACTGTAAGTTCAATTAGTTACAGCTTCCAATGTTTTATTTGAAGTGCAATATTATGACAGGTGTCATAAATCGATGGTAATTATGTGGGTGGCCTCGATTTGCAAGCTGATATGGCCAGGGGCTGTAAAAGTAAATGCACTCAGCTAGAGTGTGTTGCTAGTAGCAACTGAGAAACAGAAATTCATTTCAAATCTGCCTTTTTATTCCAGCCTGTTCCTCCGGGACATGTTAATCATGCATATAAAGAGGGAGCTGTTCTGATGGTTCCTTATGAGCTGGTCATGTAGAACAGTTTGAGCAGCCCAGAGAGTCTGGAGGAGCAGGATGAGGTTTAATTAACCTGCATAGTGGTAAAGTATATAGGTGCATTTACTCAAGTATAAGTGCTTTAGTTTATTTTTATTTTATGCTAGTTTGTAATTTTACTCCACTAATTAATTTACATTTACTCATTTGGCAGACGCTTTTATCCACAGCAACTTACATTTGAGGAACAACATACAAGCATCAATAAAGCATCAAGAGATCTACAGTGACAACAAGATAGAGCTATTAACACATGGCATCCATGGGGTTAATACCTAAGGAAATTCATAGGGAAATGTTGCACTTTGTTTCTGACAGTTACTTTGCAGATTATGATTCTTCAATCAAAACATCCGAACAGTTATTGAAATATAGCATTTTGATCAAATTTAAAACTACCCAACAGTGTGTAATAATGTTAAAATTACTTTCACTTCGACCAAGTTACAACATAAAAAATGCATCAATGGAAATATTCCAATATATAATGATGCGTAAATATACTTTTACTATTTAAATTAATTTTGCTGATAAGTTACTAATATGTAAGTGGGTACATTCTGGTTTCACTACTTTTTACTTAAGTAACTTGGAGGACTTCTTCCACCACTGGACTCAAATGGGTTTGAGAAGCAACAGAGTCAAACTAACCTTTCTGAAAACCTTTTTGAAGTATTAAGTTGTGGATATAACATTAAAACATTACATACCGGCTAACCTGACAATAAAATATGTAGAAACACCAACCTGACTTACACCAACACAAAGTAAAATCAGATTAAAGCGTCGACATTTTTAATTCAAGTCAACCGTTAGGAATTTAAAAACGGCCACTCGCGAGGTGACGTAATGAAAACTTCAGTTGAACTAGCTGCCACCAATCGGCGCGAGGAAGTTGACAGGTTGAACGCAGGTGAGTGGAGTTCACCTGTTTTCTTTAGCTAACTTTCGTAAACAGGCTGGAAAAAATGTCGGCGTCATTTAAATGTAATGAACTTACTTGTAACATCGGATGTTCCAGAGGATCCATGTGTTTGCCCAGAGGTGTTTCTGCTCTTGTTTTTGGAGTATTACTGACGAGCATTACAATATTTCATAAAAGCAAACATTCAACAAAACCTGTCGGCTTGGACAGGCGCCCCAGCTGTGTGCCAGATAAACGCTAAGGCGCATTTTTACACCCAGTCACCGGCTTAACGACTTGAAGAAACGTGGCTGCTGCTGCTCTGAAACTGGCAATCTTCAAGTTTGAGACAGGAGAGTTAAAGGAGGAGCTTGAGCGGAAGAGGTTCGTGGAGCAGTTTTCCTGTAGTTCAGATGGTGATGAATTGAATTCTCGGATATTATAGCCTTCGGCATCACACAGCCTCCAACCCACACTGGCTGAGAGCTCTCCTGCTCCGTGCGCCCTCATCCAACGCCAACACCTCTGCCTTCCCACAGAACAAACGGATGGAGATGAATAACAGCTTGCAACCAGCAAATCTGTCTGAAAATAACATTTATGGGTTTAAAGAAATGTAACTAAAGTACATTTACTCAAGTACAAAATTGAGGTTCTTTTCATGCAGTTTCATTCTTCTACTCCACTACATTGTTAGAGTAAAATATTATTTTACAGCTTTATTTTGGCGTACTAGTTGCAAATTAAGGTTTTTGCATACAAAACAAATGAAGAGCATATAAAATGATATGATGTTTTGTTATAAATTAAAATACCCATACAGCTGAAACGATTAGTACTGACAGAAAGTTAATTAGCAACATTTCATGGTTCCAGCCATGGTTTGCTTTTTCTCTTATATTTATTTTTTATTAATTTAGAATTTTGTACTATTGGTTGGACAAAACAAGAATTGTGAAGTGTCACTTTGGGCATTTTGTTTCTATTTTCAGATTTTTTTATAAACCAAACAATCGATTAATGGAGAAAATAATCAGCAGATTAAACCATAATGCAAATAATCTTTTGTTACAGACAAAATAATTAAAATGAGCTCCTCCTCGATCAGCTACAACAGTAAAATCCTGCGTTGATGATATAAAATAGAACAGTAAGAGGGGCCATTTTCTGTATTGAGTTTTATGTGTATTCAAGCCTACATTTTTCTGTTTAACATTATTCCCATTTAAATTCCATTTAGCTGCTTCAGCTTCAGGGTCCTGGTATTGTCACTGTCACGTCTTACTCAGCCTGTCTTCACCAGAATATATAGGTCAATAGGTCATATAGGTTGATTATGCAGCAGCTTATTACGACCTTTATTTACGTTTATTGGTAGGCTGAGACCTTTAGGGGCCTTATGACAGTAGCAATAGAAGAAGTCAGGTGATGTGAAAAGCAACAATGTCCACGTTATCTGATGGTTGGCGTGGACGGGTGGGCCAAACCCAGGACTTTCACATAGGATGCCGAGGTTTGAGTCCTAAGTCAAAGTTAACTTGTTGAAAGTTTTAAGTAACATTACCAGTTGATTTTACTAGGTGACTTACATAATGTACTTATTTTTACCCAAACCATGAAATTTTTCTGAACTTAACCACATGCTTTTGTTGCCTAAACTAAACCAAACCACCATCCATCTTCTATCCATACATTGTCGCGGGGAACAAACTACCGCCATTTCACAATGTTAACCACCTGCTTAAAGTCATGTGACAATTATGGCTGTCGCTGTACTGGTACCAACAGTCGTGTATGTCATTTTGGAGAAAGGTCACATGTGTTGTACTTTCCAGTATGTTGCATGGGCCCATTTCCCGAGATGTGACGTCATTTTTCTGACTTCAGTGTGTGCTCACGTGCTCTTTAAGGATTTAAGGGGGGGGGGGGGGGGGGGGGGGGGGATTCTGATTATTTCAACAGCACATGAAGGCACCATCAGTCTCCACTCCCTTTCCAAGCGTGCAAGAGAAGCTACAGTGGCCGAAACGCTGTGTTAAATAATATGTGTGGTCCTCCATTTGTCCAAATTTCTCTTCTTTTCATACTTATAAGAAACCAGTCGACTACTACAACTACTACCACTACCACTTCTTCTTCTACTGTATTCAACGTAGTGAAGAAACGCGCTCTGTAGAGCAGTTTGTCCGTTTAGGCTACTGTAGAAACATGGCGTTGCAACATGGTGACCCGCGGTGTATGTAGATAGAAATGTCTCATTCTAAAAACATAATGGTTCATTATGTAAGGTCTTTATACACCACTGAAAACATAGTTATGGATATTATATAGCATTTTTGTCAATAGATCTTCCTAAATATTACACACTGAAATTGTTAACAAGTTTAACAATTAATCAATTATAACAATTAAAAATATATATTTCCATCGACTAATCCATTTATTGAATAATTGTTTCAGCTCTACATCTAAGTGAAACATTTGCTAAGACAGAGTATTTTACCTGACGCTGTTTGTACCTGTTGAGTCCCAGGTGAGTTCTCCACAGTGGTGAAGGAAAGGTACAGCATCTTTCTAGTGCCTATCTGTCACTCAGGCTGATGCAGCTGGGAACAGCCATGTGAGTTTTTTTACACGGCGTGATAGCACAGTACTGTACACACAGTGGTACAGTGTAATGAGACAATTCAAACCACATACTGCAGCTGAAGTGAACCCCTTCCTCAGACATGTTTCTACCACAGAAGTTTTGTTATTCATTATTGCCCTCTGGTGGTTTCACGTGCCTATGCATTATAAAGGGCTACCACAATGACATCACACACCAAAGACAGTTTGCTCGTCATGGTTAGGAGCAATCAGACTGTGGAAACAGCTGTATGATGTCATCTGTGGCTCTGGAGGAAGCGCTCCAAAATCAAACCTCATTATGTCAAAGTGATGTCATCAGGGTTACCTCGGCTTGGAGGAAGTTTTTAACAGAAAGCCAGTGTTACGAACTGCGTGTGGGCTTTTACCAGGCCACAGATCGTTTTGAGTTGCAGTATGGGAAATGTAGGATCCAGTGTTTTTGGGACTTGAGCCTATACGGACTAAAAGTCAGGATATCTCTACTGCGATTTTGTACACTTCTAATTTGATGGAGTACACTTTTAAGCTAGAGACCAAATGACACAAGAATGTCCAGCTGTTACTTACTAACTTAAGATTTCTGCTGTCCATACATATAAAACATACTGTGTATTCTACAAGTCTTATGATTGTGAACACAGCTGTCACACTGCTAAATTGATCCCATGTGGTTTTGTGTGACAACAATAACAGGTGCAAAGGATTATTTTCTGTCCGATCCTTTTCAAATCAAAGGGAAAACACTTTTATATTTCCTGTCTTGTGTGTGTCCCTCTCTCTCTTCGCTTTCCCTGTTGTTTCTGCGTATTGTGCTGCCCCGATGACCCTGGAGCTGAACTCTTCTCCTGACCGGTCTCTGATGAGCAAGTGGGAATACTCCGTGTTCACACCAGCACAGCCCAGATAAAAAGCCCTTCCTTCCTCCGTCCTGGCAGCAGCTGCCTTGAAAAGACACACACATGCCAAACAAATGCCTCTTTGGTGCAAAAGAGCAGATGTACACAGAAATCATTTGGTCTGAAGCTTTCCTGGAAATACCAAGGGGGGGGGGGGGCATTTCCAAAATAACAGCAAATATGCTAGAATAAGAGAAAATGCTATGGACTTCCTGCTATTGTTTGAACATTACTCGGGAAGTCAATAAATGGTGTCAGCTTTTTCTGATGTGATAGCCAAATAATCTCATGACACTGTCAATATAACTGACTTTGCACTTTGATAGTGAGCTTAGAATGGCAAATTAACATAATCACCATGTGCAGTGAAACTAATCCTCAACACAAATAAGTGCTTGACAGCTGTTTGTTCAAATTTTACAAAAATATGTTGATGCTGGGAGCAGCAGAATCTAATCACAGCAAGCCAATTAAAGAGAGGGGGAAAATCTTCTTTTCAGCCCACTCATCCTGTCAAAATCACAAATCCAATTTTATGTACAAACAAGTTGATTAACTGTGTTTCCTTTATCTCCTTGTACTGATGCATTCATCATATTTTCTTCTTCCTCCATCTCCTTTTGCAGGCCCACTCTGGCCGGTGAAGAGTGTGTGCGCTGTGTAGGCCGGATCGCTCCAGAGTTTCTGTCTTGTACAGCGAACATTAGTCATCCAGGTTGGTGGATGAAGAGAACAAGTAGCTCAGGTGGGTGGAACTGCCCTCATATTGGATCACAGAGAGGCCTCAAAAACAAAGAACAATGCCTCTGAGATGAGAAGCTGAAAGAGAGAGACGTTTCTCCAAACAGAGCTTCAAAAATACATTTATTTTAGAGCAGCTTGTGCCTAACAAAGCTGTATTACTCTTTTTCTTTGTAAATAATATAAGAGTTTATATATATACATTGCTATATTAAGAGTTTTGTACATTTAAAGTAAGTTCTAATCAAATAAAGCTTTATTTTTGGGGTCCTAATGTTCTAATAATTTTCTTTGAAGTTGCCTGGAAAGAAATATGGTAAGATAATATATAATATATGAATTTGCTTGAAATAAAAGGGAGTGATGACTTTGAAAGACATGGGTATATACCTGGCAGGGAGGGACAAAAAATCTGATCTTTTTAAAATGTGTATTTTGTGAGTCCTCTAATTCATGGAAGGGCAATACTAACTTTATAATTAGTCCAAATTTCACAGAAATTTCAGGAAACTTTCTGGCAAATACTGTAAAATAAAGTGTGCATTGTACTAAATCAACAAAAACCCACATAACTTGATGACCTTTTAAATCACAGTATAAATCAGTATATCAGTATGAAGACAATGACATAATATTCATACACATACAAGCCAAAACAAGTAGATTTGCAGTACTTTATATTTTGCAGGTGAGAAATTTCTTTAAAATCAAGTTGTTTGATTGTGAGGCCACGTAAATATATTACAGATATGCACAATAAAGGTCAAAGGCCAAATAAGGTCATTAGAGAAACTACGTAGTGTCCAGACACAGACACCCATGATACCTAACATACAAAAACAAATCATATAGTATACAAAAGAGAGGCTTCAAACTGCTAATGTACATTTATCATCCAGAGACTACAACATCATAAATACCCACTCATTGACCAGTTATGAGTTGTTAAAAAGTCCAGGTGGCAGTAACATGTTTCTTCAACTCATCCCCATGTGAAGAGATATGTCGTACACTGCGTTTAGAATTTGAGTTCATGTTCAAAGAGTGCGAGGAGCAGGAGACATGCCCAACCCATCAATAGGCCGAGGTTTTGTAGGAGAAACATGAGATACGGTCTGTCAGTCTTCACTCTACTCATCTCTGGGAGCTGAAACATAATAGAGAAAGGAAAAAAAATAGGACTTTATTTAAAGGAAAGGCTAGCATTATTCTATATTTTTCTTACGGTCAAAAAATCCCATGAAAAGACCAAAACCCTTTTGTTCCTAGTGTTTATCTTATCTTATCACACATATATAGCTGTAAAGTGAGAATGCTTTCAAAAATAGATAAGTTAATAGATCATATTTATCAATTAACAAAATATAAAGTGAGTGAACGGAAGAAAAATCTAAATCAAATTAATATTTGGTGTGAATACCTTTGCCTTCTAAACAGCCTTAATTCTTCTAGGTACACTTGCACAAAGTCTTGGAAGGAACTCAGCAGGTAGGTTTGCCCAAACATCTTGGAGTGCTACCCTCTAGGTTAATCCCTTCTGCACAGCTGTTTCTGTTTCAACAAACGATTGTGTTTGCACCTACATATTGAACTGGAACAGCACCGGTTTGGTAGACTTGTTTTATCATATATACCCACAAAATCCCTGACGTTGTGCAAGTGTACCTAGAAGAATGAGGCTGTTTTGTAGGCAAAGGGTGGTCACACCAAATATCTATGGACATGTCTATTTTTTAAAGTGTTCGTACTTTACGGCATTTTTCCACACCTAAAACATTTGTACAGTACTGTATATACGTCTTCTAAACAAAGCTATCAGATGGGCTCAAGTATTGATCTGATCGTATTCCCTGAAGGTCTTTTACCTTTTAACCTTTTTTTTCAGTAGTCAGTCAAGTTTGTTTTTGTACTGCTAACATTTGGAGTGGCAGTAACTAGATATTTTAACCATTTATCTATTACTTTTAGCTTTTTCGGGCATTCTCAAATGCAACAATTGATTCAGGGTGGTGGGAAACTGAATCATGTCCAAATTAGCTGAGCTACTCCACAATCTTTCCATGTAACCTGGAAAGTGCAGAAGTAACTCCTGGGGTAAGTAAGTAAGCCTGCTTGGGAATTTAGTGCCATGAGTTTTTACTGGACGCTGTATCTTGGACAGTTCCCAGGTCATAACAAAAGAACATGGCACTCTGTGTTTTTAATAGTTTTTGTCATAAATGGAGGTCTTATGGAACAGAGAAATATATCAGGATCATATATGCGATGGGATTTGTTGTCAATAGAACTACAAAATGTCCCCAGTTACCATTTCTACCAGGGACAAATATAGGAAAATCCCAGCAGTAACAGCGAAGATCCACTGCTGCACTTCCATCTCAGAGGAAACAAACAGTCCGATGTAGAGGCCCATGAAGGCTGTCAGAGCGCTGAGAAAGTTCATTAGAACGGCAGTCTTCACTGAGAGTCCGGAGCTGAGCAACACTGCAAAATCCCCTGTGAGACGGATAGCAGAACAAAGATAAGTCGTCAGTCAGGCAGAGTGTTTCCTGGCCTCAGCACAAAAAAACAACAAACATGTTCCTAAAGTAAGTACTGTGACCTCTCACCCATCTCGTGCGGGATCTCATGGCACAGGATGGCCACGGTGGTCGCCATGCCGGTCTCGGCTGAAGAGGAGAAGGCCGCCCCGACAACCAGGCCATCGGCAAAGTTATGAAGGCTGTCTCCCACGATTACCATGACAGCCAGTAGAGGAACCCCTTGTCCTGGCAACACAAAGGGAGCCTCTGTTGTTGAAGCTCATCCTCAGACAATTGCTCTGTCGTGCCAGGCGACTAATTACAAAGTGCATCGCATTCAGCTGTGTTGTGCAGCTAATATTGAAGGAGCTTACTCTGATGTGAAGGCCTCATTGTGTCGGCGTGCTCAGGAGATAGTTCTGTACACTCCAAGTCATCCACTGGTCCCTGCAGGATGCAGATTGTAATTCACAGCACAGATTTATGAATTTTCTTGACCTTCTAATTTAAGAAATTATGCAGTGGTGGGTGAAAGGCAGGGTACACCTTGGACAGGTCACCAGTCGCAGGGCCACGCATAGACAAACAACCACTCACATCTAAAGACAATTTAAGGTCACCCGGAGAAGCTGTACAAGAAGTACAAATACACTTGCTAAATATTACTCCGCTAAAAGGAGTATAGAAGTCTTCCATTTAAATTTCTACTTGAGTCAAAGTACAAAAGTACCTGCTTTTAAAAATTCAAAAGTAAATTTATCAGAAGTAAAAATTACTATTAGTATGGTTATGCATGTCAGGGCTTGCTGACATGACAAACAAGAAAATTTTAAAACGATCTTCAAAATTAATTAATTTTTGTAAATCAAGTAATAGTTTCAACTGTAGGCTACTTGTAAAAATGTTGGGTAGTTTAATTTATAACAAAACATTATATTTTTTAAACTCGTCATATGTTTTGTGTGTAAAACTCTTAATTTGTAAAGTACAGTAACTAGTAACTTAAGTTGTCAGATAAATGTCATGGAGTATGGTTCACCTAATTAAATCAAGGGGGCTGGATGAGAAAAATTCACCACAACAGGATATTTTTATGTAACAAGAACGATTGGAAAATAGATTATAGTCTGTAGTTCACAAAAACAGGCTTTCCACGTGAGTGACCGAAATATTCTAGTTTTGATGTATTCAGTTGTTTGCACACAATTCAACACAAGCATGAAGTGCTTCCTGAATGATTCAGTACTTGTCATTCCTCGACATCCTACATGCCCTGTTCCTTCATGCCCTCCCACACCACTCTTTAACGGCTGTTATATAAGAGCAGTGTAGGAAAATTGATTTGAGCGAATTTCAGTCTGTTTTTTTAGACGTGAACATGGATTCAGTGGATTCATAGTGTTCTTGCTCTGCAGTATGTGTAGAAATTTTTTTATACATGAGGGCTGGGCAATTGTTTTATGCTATTGTATGTGTGTGCAAATAAAGAAACTAACCTCAACTTTGCTCAAACAAATGTATTGGTGGTTTTCCTATTAACAGTGCCCTCTAGCAGAAGTGTATTGTTAATGACAAGTACATTAGTGCTTTCTAGATGCTTGGGTGGAGGAGTAGTGTGGGAGTGGAGCGTCACTGGGGTGAATTAAACTGTACTGACTCTAATAACTCCACAGTGATAAAGCACAGTTAACACAATATTTAACCAACATGTTAACTTAGCCGCTACCACAGCTGCGTCTTGTTTTTTGGGGGGAATGTAGGAACCTTTGTTGCCCAAACTAAACTTTTGTTTTTGCCAGTAATGGAGAACAGTGACATTATGATTTGATCAAAATATCCCAAATAAACACAAAGAGGGTTACAAATTAATGTGATGCTAATCTTTAGTGTATTTATTGTCTCAATAACCAATGAATTACCAGCTACAATAAGCCAGCTCAGACCAACCCAACTTGACAAAAGAAACCACTCTTCATCATCTACAATTCCAGGATTACTATGTCTTATAAAAAATAACCAGCAATATCCACTTTTATATGAGAGGCACCTGAGCTGATTTGACAGGGCTGTGGGGTTACATCAGACATAAAGGGTCTATAGATGCACTACACCTTATCCAGTATGTTTTTGTTGTATATTTTAGTGTCTCCTATCTCTCTTCTGGGCCCTTGATATGTGGCAACATTTTAATGTTCTTTTGTTCCCCACTGTGTTTTCTGTCTGTCCTCCCTGTCTGTGTCTGTCTGGGCGTGGCTACACTCCCTGGCTCTCATTCCACTAATCAAGCTCCTGCAGTATTTCAACCCCAGTCCTCCTCACATTCTTCGCCAGATCGTCAGTTAACCACATGTGGTACATGCGTCAAGGCCAACTATCTTCTCCTGTAAGATTCCCTGTAATTTCTGTCTCTCCCTGGACTAACCTGTTTTTCTCTGTGCCCAGGATCACACTACCTCCGGGAAACCTGCTGAACGCCACACTCCGCTCTGCTCCTATCTTGCCTGGACTAACTCCCCTCCCCTGTGTTCTCCATTCTGCCCTGTTGGAGCCAACTGTTGCACCTTTCAATAAAACCTCTTTGTTACCCCTTCAAACTGTTTCGAGTCTGCCTTTGAGTCCTCAAGTTTTTGCACTATGACAGAACGATCTGGCCAAGGCATGGACTCAGTGGACTTGGACTCAGATCCATCTGGGGTACACAAAGCCCTCGCCAGTCAGGGATATCTCCTTGGACAACATGAGCAATTAATCAGGACACTCGCTGAGAACAGCCAAGCCATGGTAAACCAAATAGCACAATTAACTGCACAAGTTTCCCCACCTGCTCCTCCAGCTGCCTTCCCCCCCACCTGATCCGGTGGCTGCCTCTCATCACCAGGACCACCCAGCACCTCCTCCACTCCAAGAATCGTATGTCCCCGACCCAGAACCCTTCTCCGGAGAACTGGATAAGTGCCGAGGCTTTCTCCTGCAATGCGCTATGGTTTTTACCCAACGGCCACGGACTTTTCCTTCAGACTAGTCCAAGGTACTTTATGTTTTGGTATTATTAAGGGGGCGAGCCCTGGCTTGGGCTGAGGCGATTAATTCTAGTCGATCCATCTCCTCTTACACCTTTGATGAATTCGAAGCCTTAATGAAACAAGTCTTTGACCATCCAGACTATCAAGGAAATGCTGCGAGACGATTGTTACAGTTACGCCAGGAGAATAGGAGTGTTGCAGACTTCTCTGTTGAGTTTCGCACACTGGCGGCTGACTCAGGATGGAACAATGAGGCATTACTCGGGGTATTTATGAATGCACTTAATGAACACTTAAAGGATGAACTGGCAACAAGAGATGTACCCTCTGACTTTAACGCCCTTGTTTCGTTGGCTATTAGGATTGACAACCGCCTTCGCGAGCGACGCAGGGAGAGGTCAGGCCGCTCACGTCCTCCCAGTTACACTCACCTTTCCTCATTACATCCCATGAAAGCTGAGGGCAGCCCTGAAGCAAAGACCTTGGAGACCTCTACATTGCCGCCCTCTGGTGTAGAACCCATGCAAATGGGGCGAGCCCATCTCTCCCCAACAGAACGTTTCCGCAGATTAAGAGCTAGGGAGTGCTTATACTGTGGAAAGCACGGCCATCTCCGTGTTTCCTGCCCCGTGCGGCCAAAAGACGGAGCTCATCAATAGAAGTGGGGGTATTGGTGAATGAAACTTCTTCTTCTTCCCCGTCACATTCTAGAATGCAGCTCCAAGCCACTCTTTGTGTCAATAAAGTGGAACTCCCCTTGCTTGCGCTTGTAGACTCTGGTGCAGATGATTGTTTTTTGGATAAAGAATTAGCCATGAGGTCTGGAATCCCCGTTGAGACACTAGAAGCCCCTCTTACAGCTAACGCTATTGATGGCAGATTGCTGGCCCAAGTTACCCAGCGCACCAAACCGGTAGCCCTAGTAGTATCTGGTAACCATAGAGAGGAGATCCAATTTCACCTCATTTCAGCCCCCCACTCACCACTGGTTCTTGGTTCCACCTGGTTGAAGCGCCATAACCCCCATATTGACTGGACTGAAAGGGAGGATTGTGAGTTGGAGTTCATTTTGCCATTCAACCTGCCTGCAATCGGCACTGCCGCCTGTGGTGGCTGCTGTGGCACCTTCTAGCCCTGAAAACCCCGATCTGTCCTCCATCCCTGTAGAATATCACGACCTGGGTATGGTGTTCAGCAAAGACTTAGCCCTCTCATTACCACCACAACATGTTGTCCGACTGCATGGAATCCCACTAGACATCGTTTCAGACCGTGGACCACAGTTTATCTCTCAGGTGTGGCAAGCTTTTTGTCGCACCTTAGGCGCTACAGTGAGCCTGTCATCTGGTTTTCACCCCCAAACCAATGGACAAACGGAGAGAGCCAATCAGGACCTGGAGGCCGCATTAAGGTGTGTCGCTGCCACCAATCCCACCTCTTGGAGCTCACATCTCACCTGGGTTGAATATGCTCACAACTCCCTTACTAGCTCAGCTACAGGTATGTCTCCTTTTGAAGCCTCCCTCGGGTATCAGCCTGCCCTGTTCTCCTCACAGGAATGTGAAATCGCTGTCCCGTCAGTCCAAATGCACCTCCGCCACTGCCGCAAGGTCTGGAGAGAGGCTTGTGCTGCGGAGAGGAACAAGCGCATAGCGGACAGAGGCTCTCCTGCGGAGAGGAACAAGCGCATAGCGGACAGACGTCGGACCCCTGCTCCCACCTATCAGCCAGGTCAGAAAGTTTGGCTCTCTTCCAGGAATATTCCCCTTAAAACAGAGTCTAAGAAACTGTCCCCTCGCTTCATTGGTCCCTATGAGATTGAGGGTCATTAGCCCTTCAGCGGTCAAACTGAAACTGCCTAAACCCATGAGGATTCACCCCAGCTTCCATGTCTCTCAGATCAAGCCAGTGTCTTTCAGCCCCTTGTGCCCTCCGCCCGACGCCCCTCCGCCCGCCCGGGTTGTTGATGACCACCCATACTGTCCGTCGGCTCCTGGGTGTTCGACAGCGGGGGAGGGGGCTGCAGTACTTGGTGGATTGGGAGGGGTACGGCCCGGAAGAGAGGACCTGGATTCCCCGGTCCTTCATCTTGGACCCCCGACTGATCCGTGAGTTTCATCGGGCACGCCCCGATCAGCCTGGTGGGTCGCCAGGAGGCTCCCTTTGAGAGAGGGGGGGGTACTGTTGTGGTGCTACTGAATCTCCCCACTACCTTGTGTTCTTTTGTTCCCCCCCCCCTTCCCTGTGTTTTCTGTCTGTCCTCCCTGTCTGGGTGTGGCTACACTCCCTGGCTCCAGCAGCGCACCTGGCTCTCATTCCACTAATCAAGCTCCTGCAGTATTTCAACCCCAGTCCTCCTCACATTCTTTGCCAGATCGTCAGTTAACCACATGTGGTACATGCGTCAAGGCCAACTATCTTCTCCTGTAAGATTCCCTGTAATTTCTGTCTCTCCCTGGACTAACCTGTTTTTTCTCTGTGCCCAGGATCACACTACCTCCGGGAAACCTGCTGAACGCCACACTCCGCTCTGCTCCTATCTTGCCTGGACTAACTCCCCTCCTCTGTGTTCTCCATTCTGCCCTGTTGGAGCCAACCACCCAGTCTGTTGCACCTTTCAATAAAACCCCTTTGTTACCCCTTCGAACTGTTCCGAGTCTGCCTTTGAGCCCTCAAGTTTTTGCACTATGACAGTTTCACTTCCAGGAACTGCCTTGCCACAGTCCCTGTGTGTCCTCTACCAAGTAAATAACAGGGATAATGACGGGAAGCAGGTTTTCCTGCCAAGAACACTCATAAAAAACAATAGTTCAGTCTGGCTAGTGATGAACCTCACCAGCTGTATGGTGGAGATGGACTTGCCCCTCTGAGACTGACCATTGCAGTTGAGCTCTAGGGGAAGGTCGCTAGAATGACCCTGCAGACAAAAGAAAGTCATGAGATAATGTCAACAATCAGCTCTGCAAAAGTTCAGAGCAGACCCAAACTTGCTTGTTCATGGAAATGTAAAAGTTCAACTTCTGGTTAGATAAAGAAAATCAGCCACAACGGCAGCCCCTTCTCCGTGGTGTGAGTATTTTTTACCCTTACGTGGCCATGAGAGGGAACAAAAAAAGAGAACATTCTTTCGATAAGGAAAAAGCCGTAGATCCCTGCAATCATGCCCAGAATCCTCCACAGATACTCCTTTCCTTCTGATAAGTGTTCGTCACCATGACTGTGAGTGTCATCATGGAGGCCAAGGATCTCCAAAGGAGACAAAGAAGAAAACAATTAGATGTTATTCCACAGTCATGAGAGCATCTGTACACGTGTGGAGCTTGATTCACAGTTACAGTGGATGGTGCAGTAGCTCTGTGTCCTTATACCTGTGGTATGAGGTGCAGGAGTGCATCTCCTGAGAGGGTCCCTACTGCCAGGCCCACAAACAGCTGCAGGATGAGGGTGTAGGTTTCCTGGCAGGAGTTGAAGAAGATCAGGCAGATGCCGAGCATGGAGCCCATCGTGATGAGCAGAACAGCAGCCGTGCTGTAGCCATACTCTGCAGGCAAGAGAGAGTTGGGAGTTTAGACACATTTTATCCTGTCAATATGTTAAAGCTGGGGTAGGCAACTTGAGAGAAACTAGCAAGAGACTTTTAGCTTACTGTATAAAAGTATCCAACTGAAAACATCCCACCCCCTTCTTTCACTTTTCCCTCTAAAGCCACGCCCCCCCAAAAAATTTTCATGCGCAGTGAGTGCACGGGCATGGGTGCGCGCAGGTAGCTAGGCCAGGCAATCATTTAATTTGGATCAAATGAAATAATTGTCTGTGCTTATTACAGCCCTGCGACAGCCACAGATACTGGAGTAATTTTAATTTTTGTGTCAGAGCATTTGATTTATTGATTGCTGTCAGGATGTAAAGACAATCAAATATAACAATGCTTCTGAAATAAATTAAGCCAGCTGTAAGATTGTAAATTCTGTCTGATCATGAAACAAAGGAAAACCTGGACGACATTTTTATCTTTAGAAAAAGTATCTATAGCTCTTATTGGGGGAGATACTTCATTATGTTTTATTATTGCTTACTTTTATAATATTTAAATTGTTAAACTAAAGAACATGACTTGCTTTCTATAGACAAAAGTCTAATTAGGCTGCTAACTTTTAGGCCTACAAGTAATTCATTCACAAATGAATTACACTGCACTAGTCTCTTTTCCCCAAAACCTAACCAATTTGCCCTTTTATTTTTATTTAGTAGTTCAATTCATCAATTAAAACAAAAATATTTAATGGAAAAGGTTCTCAGTTCAGAAAAAAAGTCACAAATCAATAATTGCCTGATTTAGTAGCAAATTAATTGCATAATAGTGCGATGAGGTAAAACGTCTTACTCTCGAGAGCAGTGGGCAGAGATCCTCTTGTTTTTTGCTCTGCAGACTCACAGGCATTGCCTAGCAACTGTTGAATGATGGCTGGACAAATTTGTCTGAAGTGCTCCTTGGAAATTGGCAAATGAGGATTCAGAGCAAAAGTATCCACCAGCTGATTGGCTGAAAAACATACCTGATTGGATTCAAATGGAAAGACACATTTGCGGGTGAGTAGGAGGCTTGTCAAATAAAGCCTTATGGCCCCTTCGTGCAGCCTGCAGCAATGTCGCCAGGCTTCTTATTATTCTCTGTACAGAATATTCTTTTAAATGAAATCTTCTCATTTTTGTGTCAGCCTCACCTGTGCCCAGTCTCTGCTTATTGCTCCAGTTTCACGTTTGCAGCCATCCAGCGGACGCCCAGCCCCTTTCTGTGAACTCCCCGTGAGGCCCCCCATCTTCCTGTTGCGAGAGTGTGTTACTCCTTCCTGTCCGACTCCCAGCTGATGAAGCAGCTCCTCTAAGTCTGAGCGAAGAAATCACTGCGTCATGATACTGCGGTCACCAGATGAGATTCAATTAAATTATTCAGTGTCTGTTTGGCGATTATTAAAAATAAGCAAACACTAACACAGATGATCCAATATTAAAGTTCAGCAGGGCACTTACAGAGATTTTGGATTGAACCTGCAGATAGCCAGCATTTTGTGCCATTGTTTAATAATGAAATTCATATGAAAGATGACTGTATTTAATTTTAGCAACATGGCACATCTGACACAATATTTACAACATCTTTCTTTTCAAACCTATACTGAGAAAAATCTTTAGTGAATGATGACTCATTCCTCCTATTCAGAGGCAGTGAGAGGAAACACCTTCAAGTAAAGAATTGACTTACAGAAGAGATTTAAGCGTTAAAGCTGCTGTAATCAATATTTTTAAAATAGCAATGGATGAAGTGACTATGTGTAAAAACAAATTCCTCGTAGTGAGAGAATTATCACCTGACTCTGAACTTCCCCATAGCGTCTTTTATTCCTTCACTGGCAGCAGCAAGGCAGCTATTTTTAGTGAATAGCCTCTAATAAACTCACTGTACACAACCTGCTCAGCAAAGAGACTTAACGTTGGACTTCAGGCGGCCAGAAACACGAGACCAAATGAACGCTGTGGTTGTTCTGGATCTGTTGGATTTGTAACGTGTTTTTAGCTTGTTTCAGCAGCCCCAGGCCCAAGTGACAAAAATTTTGTATGTGTAAGTTTAAATAACATAAAGAAAAAAAATACATTTTCAGGTTTCGTATTTCAACGAACCACACGATCAACATTACATAAAAAGCAAATATCAATCTGTTTAAATGTGCATAACAAGCCATCTGTGCTCTTGAACTTACCTTTTATTTGCAGGTTACTTGTGCGATTGAAGGATTGAAAGATATAGTCGGTAAAGAAAGCAGGAGACGGGAGGTTCCTCCATCTGAAACAGTGGCCCTGCAGGATGTGGCTGATAATGGCTGCAGCCAGTTTGGGCACAGAAGATGCACTAGCACCTGGATTTTCTTGCACGTTAATATCTTCAAGGAGGTGAGCGGCATCAATACACTGTGGGATCAAAGGTGAAATGATAACATCTGGACAGGCACCTGTCGAGACAGGATAGATCTCTCAGCTAAAAATGTCTTACTTGCAAATCAGATGAGTTGTCTTGATTGGATGGTTGGTAGTGCTGGTTGATGAGCTGCAGAATACTTTCTGTTTCTCTGGACGATAGGAAGAGGTTGTCCTCAGCTGGGTGTAGATTGGTGAGGGCCAAAAGGTAGTACTGATAATTCCCAAATGAGGAGGAGGAGGTGGAAAGGGAGGAAGGAGATGCAGCATTTGACACGCACAGGTCTTGTAAGTTTATTATGTAGTACAGCAGAACTGTGGAGATCCGCTGGTAGTCTTCCTTAGTGAGGTAAGTTTTCCCATCATCCTCTAGCACAGAGAGAGCTACGTCTGGTGTCAGGCACTGGAACAAGAACACGCATCAATAAGAGAGCCATTTTTGGCAGATTTGTTAGAGAGAGCAGACTATTTAGCAAACATGGAAGAAAAGTTTCTCCCAATTTTTAAATCTCACTTTCAACGCTAGACACACACATAATCCCGTTGTTAGCCCGCCTGCACAAACAAGTGAAGCACCTCTAACTCCATGGAGTTTATTATGTCAATAGGGATGTCTAAAGCCACTCAGCATGAATGCCCCATAGAGGTCAAGGACTTAAGCCTCCACATTCATTCGCATTCCAGCCATAACAAGCACATTTCTTGGAATAAGCAGGCAGGAATGGGAAGATACAAATAGTAAGTATTTAGCAAATGGTTGTAATGTTACTGATAACATTAAGACAGGTGTTGGCTTTACCTTGTTACAAATGTCCTGAGAGGTGCCAATCTGCCCTTCACAGTTCACTGCCTGGAGGAGCTTGGTGATCAGGACACCGGTGTAGTTCTTTTGGAGCTGTGGCTCATCGTCTTTACCCAGGGGCAGATCCAAGGCCCTGAGAGCCTCCTGCAGGTACCCTCGCTCCTGCCCTTTCACCTCCAGCACCCTCCACAGCAGACATAGAAGCAGCAGCAGCAAAGTGAGCGCATTGCTCCAGAAGTGCATGTTCCTACCAAGGCTGTCCGACTCCCTCGGGCTACCAGGACTGGCTCAGGGCTAGAGACAACAAGGAGATGATGGATAGAAAACACAAGCAAGCTAACTGAGAGATAAGTTTGACTCAAGGTGAACGAGAAGACAAAAGAAGAGTTGTGGCAGGCGTTAGTAATCTGCTGATCTGCTGGGCGACAGAAGGTCTTGGTGGGCGCCCTTCAGCCGAACCAGCCCTTACAGTGCAGCCAAAGCCTGGGCCCCTCAGTCCACAACAAAAGGATTAGTGCAGGCAAGTGAGAGAGCACAGGGGCAGGGAGAAGGGGGTGACAGTGGAGAAAATAATTAGTATTGAGGAAAACTAGGGAAGAGGGAAAAGCTATTATTAAAGCAAAGCAGCAGCTCACGCAGAACGATCCCAAACAAAGTAGTTCTGGTCAAACAGTACAGAGGTCACTGCACCTGTTCAGTTTGTTGAAGAAAGTCTGAATGTTTTCATATCTGTCGGTTTTCATAATGGCTTAAATATTGAACCAGAATCCTTCTTCAGCAGCATCAATTGTTCAAGAACAAGACGGGATCTGGTGTGAGTACATGTAATGTTTGTTGACTATGAGACCCCCCCCCCCCCCCCACACACACACACACACACGCATAAAGCACTGGGGACATTCAAATCAAAAGTTTTCTTATTTTGAATGATCTCTGAGTCATCAAAGATCAAACATACAGTGCAATACATGCCAAGCTTTCCCACAACACTTTCCAACATCCTCCCACAGCATTCACCCTGCAGGTCAAACCGATCGAGCTAACAGAGGACTGAAGCTGCAGCAATACCTGAGACAGAATAGATGAAAACGCTTACCCGATGAACCAGGTCTACCGTTCTCCCCTCAGCTCCTCCCAGCTGCTGTAACTAGGTTTGTTTTCCTGCTCCGGTGCGATAAACAGAGGATCCAGAGCTTGTTTGGGGAGAATTCTTGGGCATTGGTGCTGCTGGTAAAACCCTCTTACGAGAAGTAAGAGTTGAGTAAGCTGCTGAGGATTAGCTGCGACAGCCTCAGAGGGCTGTGGTTGCCATGGAGAACGCTACCTCATTTTCAACAATGAAGTGATGGGGGTGGCTAGATGCTGGCAGGGGTGATTGAACGGCGAATGCCTGACAGAATGATATTTTGAAGTGTAGAAATATGGCATGAAACAGTTATGATTTTAAATAAAAACAACTTGATAGTTTGCTATTTTGCCAAATTGGAATCAGATCTAATTATCTTTCTTTTATGCACAAACAAATGTATATTTTCACAAGTAAAAGCATTTGTTTACATTTTAAATGAGCTTTTATATGTGGCTGACATTTAATAATCTGATCATTTGCCTCACTTTCATCAAGCAGGAGGTATCAAATAAGAATTTAAATGTAAAATTCCTGCTGTTCAAGCAAAGATAGTCCTTACTGTATATCAGAAGTAATGCAGGAGAGACAGAGCCACAGCAAAATGCAAACAAGACAAACAGTATAATACAGTTTGCAATGAAAAGTGAATGAAGCAGTTGTCTAATCATTAGAGAATGGGTCTTGTGTGTAACAAAAGCAGCAATGACACAGAGACATGGGGCTCCTCCCTTAATCACCCTGATGGATATCATGTTACATGGGCAGTTAGCTGAATGACAATTTCCAAAGGTTTCCAAAAAATTGTTGTCTAAGGGTTGAAGAAGGCAGGAAGCAGGCTCTTACACAGGAGCCTGAAAGGCAGCAATGTCAGCTTCTAGAAAACTCTAAATAGTATCCTTCAAAGTGTCCTTTAATCACTTAAATAATGTGATACTGGTATGACAACATTATCATTTATAAATCAAAGAAGAATATTTGAGATTTATAGCCCTGCTAGCGGCATCGCTCTATGGATGGCAAAGTTGGTCTGTCAGTGGTTGGTTGGTCGGTTGGTTCATCACTTTGGTCCAGACTGAAATATCTCAACAACTATCGGATGGATTGCCATTACAATTTCTAGAGATATGCATGGTGCCCAGAGGACAAAGCCTACTGACTTTGGTGATCCCCTGGCTTTTCATCTTCATTCCCGTGAGCCTGCTGTACTTTCTGTTTTGTGCTAATTAGCTAATGTTAACACATTAGTTTTTGGTCTATTAAAAGAAGAAAAGTGTCAAAAAGAGGACAATTCTGTTTTGTTTATTTAATTTTATTCAGCATCTATTTACAATAATATTCCAGAAATAGGCTGATGGACAGCCCATGAATAACAAGCAACCCAGTTTAGAAAAATCCCCAAAAATACATTAATAAAACATCTTCACCTTTCTTGTTTTTTACCTGGTGTTTGGTGTACAAATGTATGAATTATTATACAATAATTATGAATCATTATCTTTGATCCAGTTCTCTTTAAAATGGAAAAATACTACAGGATTTGGTTGAGATTCAGTTCCCAGTAAAGTGATCCAAAATAAACCACGAAACCAGAATTAAAATTTCATAGTGCTGATTAACACTTATCTCATGTCTTTCTATGCTTGTTCATTCTGCTCTATGTTGGCCACCAGACCCTTGGTGTCAACAGCGGCTCGGATTGGATTGTTGAAGTATAACTTGTTGTCAAAGGTACTTTCTCCCAAGGCAGGGGTGGGTATCCGTTTACGGAAGAGGAGGAACGCACCAAGTCCAGCTATGGCGATTACAACTAGTACTACAGCCACAGTGATGCCAGCCGACCCGTGAGAAGCTTCTTTAACGACGTGGGCTAAGGAGGCAAAACATATTGAAGTATTAACAGTGACATAACTTGAGTTTGAAACATCATTTTCAATATATCTTAGATAAAATAACTTACCAACAGATGGTGGCTTTTCTGTGGGTGTAATTACTGAAGAAAAGAGAATAAAAACTCAATGTAAGTCACTGATTTGATCAATTTGAAACTACATAACAGCTGACACAATTTACCTTTAGGTGTTTTGCAGATATAAGACCTATATCTGCTACAGCTGTTTGTACTCCACTGTCCGCTGTCCGAATTAATGTCCACACAGGATTCTGACTTTGGCATCCCTGTTTTCCAGTTGGTGTAGTCTACGACACTGTTATCGATCCACATCCACTCACCTGAAACAAGGAAGCTCGTTACTTTAATGACCAAAGCAGCACAGTCGGACATGTTAAACTTTAGGTCAGCTAAGCATCCGATTTTTCACAAAATAAATAACCAACAATCCTACAAGGTCACTAAACAACGTTCACCTCAGGTCTGAATGACTGCTAATCATCTAAATAAAAAACATTCAGTCCGCTGCTCATTCAAAAAAGATTTTTAATCTGTTTCACTGGTTGCTACTATATTTTCCTAAACCAAGCAAAGATTGTGGCCAGCAGTGACCTTTGTTCTACCTGTGTCAAACATGAACAAAAATGTACTAAATTAATTCATCTATAATCAGTTATATTTATACTCTATTGATGTTACTTTGTATTGTTATTATTTTATAATTTCATACAAAATAACATGTCAAAAAAAATAATTCCGGCTTGAATTAGGAAATCAATTTGAGAATATTTTTTCATCCAGATGGAAAATTATCTTTTAGGATTTTAGAAACAACTTCAGAACAGTTTTAAATGTTATTAAATGACCTTTGGGGCTTACTTTTAGGAAAAAACAAGATCTTTGCTACCATAGGCCTGACAGCGGCTTTCAGCTGGTCTGACAGCGGACCAGGATGAAGTGACTGAGGGGGCTGTTAAAATCACGCAAGCTTTTCATAAAATTCATTCATTTAACTATGCAAAAGCTTCAGAAAGGCTAAATAACAACATGATGCTACTGTTTCAAAATCAGTGAATACATTTATTAATCAAAGCACTCACTTAAGAACGTAGTACTAGCAGAGCGCTAAATATTTTTTTCATTTATGAACAATTCTGTTAAAATCAGCAAGGGGAGGCGAGTAGAAACAGGTTCATGGCTTGCCGCTCTCTCTCACATAAAAAAGTTTTATTGCCATGAAAGTTTCAAGAACAATGTTGCCAAAGCATCAAAATACAACACAATAACAGTAATATGAACATTAACAACGATTCCCCTCATTGTTGTGTAGATCCATTTAAGGAAGTTGGCAACCCTATTCCTGGCTGGCATAAGCTAATGCTAGCACTAAAACTCAAGTGTCTCCAGCTGACTAATTTTTAAAACATAAAGCCTGTAAAAGATGTTTCAATACACACATAATGGCTACACATATGGTCTATTTCCAAAAGACTGAGGCTAAAACTGCATGTCACAGGCAAAAGGTCAGCAGCTAATAAGAAAGAAAGGGGCATTGTTTGTGTATTTTAAGGTAGAGCTAATTAGCCCTTCCTTAGTAATATAGTAGCTACAGTATAATGAATTAAAATCTAATTTTATGTTATAACGTAACCCTTAGATGGTTAGGATGCTTACAATACAAACACATACTTGGACAAGCGACACTGTGGTTAGATTTATGTTTTAATGTTTGTCTTTTTAGTATCCCTTACTTTAGTTTTGCATAGTTTTGAGTATTAAAGAAATTACAAGTCACTGAGGCAGAATTTAACTTCAGTAAAGCCATGCTCACCTTCATGATTCTTATAGAGGCCAATCCAGAAAGACTTGGCACCATCGTGTAGAAGCTCCACATTCTGTTGTATGAACAGACTCTCCTGTGGGTCCTGAATACTCACTAGAGAAGCGCCTGATGAACACAGCCACAATAGCATACCATCAAGATTTTATACACATGCACGTTGAAATTCATTAATGGAAATTCTTTACAACATACCCATTTTCAGACATTCAACTGATGCATGGGCCCAGTTGTCCACCACTGAACTGAGGAAGGTATAACAATGGCCCCTGAAAGGTACCCAGGTTTTTCGCTTCTTTGGTTCTGGACAGTTGCCAGGGAGTTGAGGTGGCTCAGTGGGAGCTACGTCTAAAAAAGAGACAAGACAGGATATGGCATGGTTAACCTTGTTGTTTCTTTATGTACGCATGTATAGTGCAAGATGTCTAATAGAGAGAGGTTCTAACCTGGTGACCTCTTGCAAAGGGAATAGTAGATCTCAGTACATGGTGCAGTCTTCCATTTTCTGTCCACATCCATATACACACAGCCATAGTTGTGTTTAGGCTCATCGGTGCCCCATTTAGTATAAGACAGCAGCCAGTTATCGACCCACTTGAACCGCCCACCAGTCTGTAAAGAAAAAAATATGCATTGGTGGAGGTGTTTATGGAGCTAAAAGTTTGTGAGTATTTGAAATCCTGTTTAAATTAGTGGTAAACATTAACAGGTAAGCCCTTTACCACATTGCTGTTGAGGCCGATCCACACAGGCTCATTGTGCTTGGAAATCTGCAAGGTGATGTACGCCTGGGTTACAGGGTTCAGGATACTGGCCAGATCTGCATCGTCTGCTTGGCACTGCCGCCTCGCCTCGTCCCATCTCATCTTCTGGGCCACCAGTTTGTAGGAGTCATTGCCAAGTTTGTAGAAAGCCTTCGGCAACACAGTTGTGGGTGGGACTACAATCTGAGAATCTTTGTAAACAAGAAACACCAGTTGTTATTCATTCACAGTCGTAAAACAATAATTCAATGAAAAAAGTCTGTAGCACAAAATGTAAATTGATATTGTCCCCAGTTAGCATTTACGCAACGACAATGTGGCCTTGCTAATATTTTACTCACCAATGTTTCTTTTACAGATGAAGCCATGTTTTGAATTACAATCTTCCACCTTCCAGAATCCTTTTATTTTGGAGGAGCTGCCCACCATAATCACACAGTCAAACGACTATGAGGCAGAAAAAGGTATATTAGTTTCTCTTGGCTGTAGCATTTTAAGAGATTTTCTTTCGGTTGCTTTCTTTTGAATGTCAATGTGAATTTCTTTTTTATTTATTACTTTTGTTGATAGCTTTGGATATAGTAGGGTATGTTGTAATAACCTCATCCATAAATGAATAACGTCCATCAGGCACTGTTGTTGGATGCCCTTTAGCCCAATTGGTAT